TCATAAGTACTTGGTACATTATCAGCGCAGCGGGAGACGTTCAAACTAATATCACGTAATTTACGTCTCTCAATGATGATTGATTGGTTGATATACCAGAAGGGAGGCTAGCCTCCCCTACGAGGTTTCTTTTCTCAACACTCCTCAGCGCTGAAAGTGAACACTCGATGCTGATTGGCTAATTTTTTTTTTACCAACGGAGGCACGAGAGCTCAGCTCTCCCCCGGCCTCCCCCTCCCCTCCTCTATCACCTAGCGGCTGTACTTACATCAGCAGATTCGGCACATTCACGTTAGAAAAGCGGCGCTTTCCAACTTCAGTAACATGTTATGGTATTACAGCTGTGAAATTACAAACAAAAAATACACATTCTGAGACATGAATTGAAATGAATTGTGAATTTTATTAACATTAAATCCTCCTCCCGTTTTCACCTCAAAATTTTGGGGAAGCTGTGCCTCCCCTGCCTCCCCCGACGAGCCGCCACTGAATTTTATCAATTCTGATTCTTTTCGATTCCCAGTTTCGATTCCAATGTGATTAAATAATGATATCAAACATTTGTCCTGTGTCTCTTTTTTGCAAACCATTTATTGGAGCTGAATACCATGAACAAAAATCAACAGGCTACATAAAACTCTTTAAGAGCTGTTTGTGTGCAAAATAGAACTGCATGATTCTGGATAAATTTAGTTTTTTTCCCCAATGGAAGTTGTGGTTCTCTCATGATTCTGAAGAAAAAACATTAGACAACTAAACAAAATCACATGTAATTTATGAATAAATGATTCAATGACTCACTCAAGATGTACTTGTTTCATTACTGGATGAATCGGTGTTCTTGAACTAATCTCTTGTATGATTCAAAGACAAATACATTTTAACAGCCCCTTTTCGCCACCTACTGGCGTAACAATGTAATCGATAAATCTTCATTTGAAGTGTCAAAAGGATATTTACTCTATTTTAATCGCTACCATACACATCAGAGTTTATATCTGAACTATAAACTTTTATCCCAGTACGTCTGTGATTTGAATTTTTGTAACACAGAAATAATGATACTGTGTGGTTGAAATGACTGTGAAGCTGTTTCGTTCATGACAGATGACACCGATTTTCAATCGATTTTCGATTCCCAACCCTAACCAATGTGCTCTGGGATTCCCAGGCAAACTTGACCAACCAGCATGTGCACATATGGGACTACTCATTTTTTATTTTTTTTGTGTGTGTCAGCACTGTAAGGCTACATTCACACTGTCAAGTTTTGGGATTGACAACCGCATTTTCTTTACAGGTGCGAGTCTCGAAATGTCCCATTCACACAGCAGCTTACAGTTGTGTTTAGAATACTGTCTGTATGAGCGTGCAACAGGAGTCAAGCCCGTATCCCTTACCAGTAACCATAGCGACAGTGACCAAAGTAAAATCAAAGATGGCGACGTCCATAAAACTGAAAGTCTTATCACTTTCTGACATGACGAGTCCAATCGAGCCACGAGTTCGTCCGTCAAATCTTCATTAACCACCGGATGCGCACATTGTAAGCGCTTCGTGTTAAAAACTGCAAAGCACAAAGGGAAGAGAAATTTATGTGTAGTGTTATTATATCTGTGCAACAGTTATTGAGCTTTTCTATTAACAGTTTTAAATTTCAGTTACTGTGCACGTTAAAGGGGTCATATGATGCGATTTAAATTGTCCAAAGTAAAATCAAAGATGGCGACGTCCATAAAACTGAAAGTCTTATCACTTTCTGACATGACGAGTCCAATCGAGCCACGAGTTCGTCCGTCAAATCTTCATTAACCGACAGCAGCCTTTAAATTTGAGTGGAGAGTGGAGTATTTGAGTCGTGCGCAGAACACAAAACTGACGGGAGTGGCTCCGGTGGAAAACTGACAGGATCTAAAAATTTCAGGTGACAGACACGCAGCTCATTTCTCCGTCGTCACTGTAAGTTACTGAAAAAAAATATAGGCCTATGTATATTTATAATCTATGACAAAAATTTATCATAAACTAGGTTCATGGATAATTCGGCAGCAAAAGTTATTCTAGAAAAATCAATGCACAATAATTTTAGAAATCCAAACATTTAGTGAAAAAAACATTTAGATTTCATTGTGGTCTCAAAATACTTTTCAGTCCAATCCAATTAAATTGCTTTGATTAAAAAAAAAACTGCATATAAACATGTATCTTCTGCTTTATTTGTAGATAAATTCAACGCCTATGTGACACTGAAAGTGCAAAATGTGAAGAGTACCACCATCACTGTGAGGGGAGATCAGCCATGCTGGGAGCAGGACTTCATGTTGTAAGTTTTTCTATCACAACTCGCCACTGTAACGCCACTTCCCAGACAGCAATCTGTTATCGCTCATGTCCTGGTAAATTACTAGAGGGTAGGCATGTCATATGTAGAGGGTCTGAATGTCTTACCACTAGTCATTCGTATGTCACAGCAGTGAGAGATATCTAACCTTGCAAACACACACACACACACACACACACACACACACTCTGCTGTAAAGATTTGCTGGCAAACTAATGAGTGTCTGTCAGCCACCAAGATAACAACCCTGATAATCAGGCTGTTAGTATGTTACGTTCCACATCTAGATCCGGTTGGTTTCTTAATAGTGAAGTGTGTCAATTTCTGTGTTCAGATATTTTCTTTCATGATTCACATGTTGGGATTTCCCAGCAATTACCTCAGAGGAATTTTTTTCACATTTTGTTAAGTTGCTGCCTTATGCTACACTGCTTTAAATTACTTTTTTCCCACATCAATCTACACCCCATACACCATAATGGTAAAGCAAAAAACTGGTTTTTAACATCTTTGCAAATTTATTAAAAATAAAAAACTTAAATGATTCCATTCCATAAGTATTCATACCTGGGACCATATCTGGGACAGTTGAAATTTAGCTCAGGAGCATTCAAATTGCTTGTAGATGTTACTACACATCAAGCCACACATCTGGGGAAGATTTCAGAAAAAAAAATGCTTATTTGTAGAGGGACAGAAGCATGTAGTCTCTGTT